CTTCGCGCGGCTTCATCCTTGATTGGGAGGCGCGGGGGGAGGGGGGTTGGGGGTTTGCTGTTCCATTTTATTTTGTCCAAGATTGTTGTCTGCTACACAGCCGTTTTTAGTGTCGTCACGCAACGCTCCTCCCCACTTAGACTAGTATGGAGCACCAGTTGAATAGATTTCTAACTTGAGAACAACAATACGCAAAAAATACAGTGGAAGCTCTCCACAACGGCCTCTTTGGCAACAAAAGAAGAAAATCCCTTTAAAGTTACACAAACTTTATTTACGTTAACAACGTGCTGGTCGAACATGATTTGTAAACATTCATCGAAAATGGCTTAGTAGCTCACCAAGAAGGACTTTAACAGCAACAATTCGTCCCTTATTGCCCGTCAATGTTCGCAGGCTGTCCTTGGAACGTACATTTGGATTTCTTTCACTGGTATCGGAATATGTATTTGCGTCTGTTACCTCCTTCATCACACCTTTATGAACCTTGCCAAAAGCCCCTCGACCAAGTTCCTCCATGAAGGTTACTCGCTCGTGTGGGACTTCCAGTGACATAAAATGAACAATTTCTTTCTTGGATCTAAATAGGAAACAGTCAATATTAGCAAAAGTTTTGTTTCGTACATGATCGAACTATGAAGAAACTGCGTAGGAAGAACGGGTTTTCTAACTACGTAAGCGGAGGAGCAGGGTGTTCCCTACAACCCCCCGATAAAAGTCTGTAATCGCCATTACGGATGTATTTGACATTACCTGTGACATCACTGGACGATTTTCTACTAAAAAGTATCATAAATCAGGACAGCCTAAACAAATGCCTGCTGATACATTGTCACAAATCGCCATCTTCACTGTGAAGATTACAAAGAGATTTGCCTGTGCTAACGAACAACGCGCTCAGCAGACCGGCGCTCTCCCAACTGAGGTAACAAGGCGGTGGTCAAATTCGGGCAGTGGCAGCCATGGACAGCTGTTTCGCCCTTACTGGGGTCTTTGTATAAAAGACCCTTTGATGAGCCCCTCCCCCCACCCCCACGTTTCGAAAGGCTCCGCCACCTCTGTTGCTTAGACACATTACGGAAAATTCCATTTTTATGGAGACCAATAGAAGTGCCTCGATTTCCTTGAGTACAATTTGACTTAGAGTTGAAACGGGGGTCCAGTGCGCATGTCTGTCTTCGTTCTAGCCCGAGCACGCTACGTACCTGTCGTCTGTCGAAAAATAAACTGCATTTAAAGCGAAAACAAGAAAAACAAACAAACAAACAAACGAAAGAAACACACTGCACCTTCCTGTTAAGGTTACGGCATTTATAATTTAAAGGCCAGTTTATACGTAACGGTTTGTCTGCCCCGTTTTGTAGCGAACATATGGTGAACAGAAAAGGTGGCCCGATTTTGTATTTGGATCTTTCGTCAATCGGAAAATACACCGCGCAAAAAAAAGACAACAAATCGGGGACTTTTTTTCGAAGAAATTGTCGGATATGACGCGAGTGTCAGTGTTAGCGTCCAACTTTGTTAACATGCGTTGAGTAGACCCTATTGACGTTTCAGTGCCATTTAAGCATACCGTTCTTCTCTTTTTTGCCTCCATCGGTAGATCCCTACGAGAATTGCTGCCGCAAGAGTAGCAGTGATTCCAAGAGCTATTCCCAACGCTTTAATAGCGTCATCGTTAGCTGGAAAGACAGAAGTAAATTAATGTAAAAGATATGGAATTTATGCAATTTACATGTAGGTCATCCATAAGAGGATAGGTGTTATTGTCTCGGTTACGGGAGTTTGTTTTTGTATTTTTTTTCATTCTGAACTTTTACATATATCACTTTTAAAATGTATTTTGTTTTCCCCATCTCACCTGCGGAAGTGGCCAAAAAAGGTCTGTTCTAAAAAAGACGGCTTCATAATTTGACTTGATTTTTCAAGTTTAAAATGATTTTTTCATATCAAGTAACTATGCTTTTGCCTTGGGATTTCGTGCTGTTTTCTCAGTTCGGGTAATGAAGCTTCTTTCTCGGAATTTTTGTGACTTCATTAGGTAGAGTCTCCCTATATTAACAAAAAAATGGCGGAGATTATAAATAGGATAATAATCAGTTAGTTAGGCCTTCTTCTGAAAAATAATGACCGTGCGCGTAGGGTAAGGTAGAAAAGTTAATTTTCTCCTTCGCTTGAACGCGACTTATATTAAACGCCGGTCATTATTGTGGCAATGACCTGCTCTTCCATTTACCCTGTTCAAGATAATAGAGGGATGAATTATAAGTACATCTAGGACGATTTTTCTTGCGGCCGGCATTTTCTGGTTTGTTTCTTATTTATGGCATCATCCATGACCTTACGGCTCTGAACGGATATAAAGCCTCACTTGTCCTGGCGGAAGTAGCCTTCCACGTAGACGGTGTTTTGACTAGTCACGCAACGACGCGTGACGAGGCCCTAAGAATGTCTTCTGAGGAGGAACGCCAGCCCAGCTTGGGTTAAGGCAATCTATACTTTGTTCCCTTGCGGTACTTACAGTAGACGTCTTGTGTTTCCTTCTTTATCTTAGGTGAGTTAGTTTGAACTTGCCAAGGAGTAGACCAATCGCTCTGGAGTTCTCTAATCCACGAAGACACTTCAATCTGATAGATTTTGTCGCAGTCAAGTGTCAATGGATGATATAATTTCGCTGAAGTATGCTCTTGTACCCTGCGTTCTGCTCTGTAGCCCTGTGGATTTATCACTCTAAAGCGTATGGTGTTCTTCGTAGTGGCACACACGTCACGACTCCATGTGAGGTTTACTGTGCAACCATTTATCTTGCTTTCCTTTTTGTTAATAACTGGAGTTTTCGGCGTGCCTTGGGTTCACAAAAATATATCGTCATCAGTTAATTATGTACTTGTGTGTAGGCTACAAGGGATTCGGTTTAATTCTTAGTTTCGGATCAATTAACATTAGAGCCCCAAAATATGGGGATCATTTCGCGACTGTAGGGCTGTCACTCCAGCTGCTTTAATCAGCCCCGTTTACACATCTCGTATAACAAGAGGCTCACGTTCTTGACCACCTCAAAATTATTTCCGTTTTTTCAGTGTAATCCGTATGCATTTTTAGATCACTAGGACAATCACATGACTTTTGGGGGGCATATAGTTTATTTGTGGCCCGAGTAGCATCATTTGACCCCGAGCGGAGCGACGTTTTTGCTGCCGTCGCGTCGTCCGATCGTCAAGTCCTTATATAAGAGCAAGACAACGAGGCATTACGATTTTGGCAGCGTCAAGTTGTATCAAGAGCGAAAACGGCTCACCTCCGGTCGACGTGCGTCACTCAAAAACTCATTTGGTTAAACTCCCTAACAACAACAGATTACCTTTGCCCAAGTCAGAAATCTGATTTGCAGACAAGGCAGTTTCGATTACATGAAGGTCCATCAGTGCCCCAACAAAAGGTTTATTTACCAATGGCAACTTGAACAGGACTGGATGATTTCCTAGGACATTTTCCGTCTCAAGATGGTCTGACGATAAGAAGAAGAACTCGTTCCATTGTTCCTTCGTTAAAATTTCTGTTCCATTTACAAACACCTTGATCTTAGACTCCTCACAGGTTATGGCAACATGATTCCATTCCCTGATTGCGAAGTTTGCTTTTGCTATAGTGTTATGTATCGACAAGATGACACTGGAATTCTTTATTGCCGCGTAAAATAGTTTTCCGCTCACAGACCAAATCGCCATTAAAGGTCCCTCTGTATCACCGGACTTAATCCAAAAAGCAATTGTAAAGTCGCAGTTTGTAATGTTTACTTTGGGCACAGTGACAAAGGAGCCTTTTTGACTGAAAGACACAGCTTTACTTCCAAGGCACCAACCTTCAGTGTAATTAACCGCACCAAAAAACCTACCAAATGAAAACTAGAGTAATTAATATTTTAACACAGGCAGACCATCCAAACTGTTCAAGGCATTGTGATGTCACGCGTGACATGTGATCCCATACATTTACTGTATTTCATAAAGCCCGCGCTCGGCTTCATTCAAGTGATCGGTAGAATGCTTCACAAAACACAGATTTTACACCTTTTGATCCCAGATGTTGATATAATGGGATCACAAGTCGCACGTGACATCACGATGCCTCAGACAGTTCGGATGGTTTGCCTCTGGTTTAAATCAATATGAAATATTAAGCTTAAAAGAAGCATACCACAAGAAATCTTTCAAAGTTTTTGGAAGCTACGAGAAAATATGGAGGGACTCTCCTTTGATGCAGAAAGTGACTTGTGAATATCTATCAAATGCATGGAGAACATTATCATGGATAAATCTTCTTCGATGAAAGGCGTTGACGATAACGATGATGATGACCATGAGTATTATCATTGTTATTATTATTATCATCATCATCATCCTCATCCTCATCAAAATCACTATCTTCATATTTCTTTAATAGCTTATTTATATATTATACTAACCTTACATCTGAATCAGAACCATCTAGGAACCAGTGGCGATATTTTGGTGTCCCTAAGGAAAGACCAAATTTGCGTCAAAATGTATCTGAGATAAATGTGAACTGCTTGAGAGGGATGCTTTGAATACTGAGACCAATTCCGATGTATTAAAATTCATACTTGGCTGCGGAGCTTAGTGCCGAATAAAACAAGAGAGGATGAATCATCTTTAGGTTCAGCAACGAATTATTCATTTCTTTTGTTTTATTCCCCCGAGCCCCAGAGCCAGGTATGAATTTTAATATATCGAAAGTGGTCTATTGAAAGCCATCTGTTAATTAATTACCTTTACATCCAAAGAGTTCTACCCTCATAGAGATGTGTTTATGCCAAGCGGTTGGTAGGAAACGGATGTACCGTGCTCTTATGAGTGGATTTAGTTTATGAGAAACAATGGTTTCTGGGTCTGTGTTGCCATCGAACACCTGAAAAATCCAGGTAGGACGCATAAGTGTTAAATTCAGTCAATAAATTCATTTCTTGCTGCATTCCTCAAAGGAAGCGAGTTGCGGGACATATTTTTACTCTGACCAAAACTGCACATGAGCAAAATACATACGTATTTAAAGGTTGCTGGAGAAATGCTAAACTGCTTTTTTTTTTCACTTTGGCGAAGAAGAGGCGTCTCACCTTATCTTTACCTTGTCCTAGCTCTTTGTAAACATTGAACTTATTTCCATTGTCGCTGTACTGTAATGTGTAATGTGTGACCCACGTGCTGTCAGCATTTTCTCCTTGAGTAGCAATCTTTGCTACAAGGGTGCGCTCTTGACTGCCCAGATCTATCTGCAACCATTGCTTAACATCATTGGTATAAGGTGACCACGATCCTACTTTATTTGAAGTTCTTATAGCCTTTAGTCTGCCGTTGATGGCTGCATGCTCGGCATCCAGTTGAGAAGAAGCAATGACTTGCCCGTTGGAGATCTCTCCGTCTCCCATACCGAGAGCTTCTTCACATTCTATTGAATAGAAACAAACAACAACGGCTGTCGAACAGCACTCGTCTTTGACGGGGTAATCTGGCCGTAACATTAAACGGTGCACCTGGGTTTGATGAACGTAAAAGGTAATGGTGATAAAGATGATATGATCCTTAAGATTGTACCAATGCTTATCACCATGTTGTTGTCGGTTGTTGTTGATGATGATGATGATGATGATGATAATTGTGGTAATGGTGGTGGTAGTGTTGGTTGTAGCGGTGGTGATAATTATTGTAAAACTTCAGATTATTTATATAATGATGACAATTAAAAACATGCTGCACAAACTTGGTATAAGGCGTCCGATTAATCTGTTGGAGGGTCATCTTGATTCACAAGCCCTAATCTGCAGAAGTCAATAGCTTTCGGGCTGGATTGACAGCAATCCAAAAAATTGCAAACAATGGCTTATGTTTAAAGCTACAATTGAGGGAGGAAGTGAAACTTAAAATATCAAGTTACAAACCATCACAAATGATGGTGTTGGCATCTTCACTCCATGATCCACCAATCCCGCAACGAGCAGATGAAGGACCGCTGACTTGATATCCACGGGCGCAGTAAAAAAAGCAAATCTTTCCATGTTGGTGAGTTGGTAAAAGACAATCAGAAGGTGAAACAAGCACATCATCCCGCAGTGAAGGTTTTCTGCACTTAGTTCCTTTTGAAAATATTTATACAGAGTGTAAAAGATAAGCAAAGCATAATCCATGTGCTTTTTACTAAGGGCTTATTTATTTTTGCTGGAAAAGTACTTTACAGTGAATCTAAAATTACTTGATGATTGTGGAAACGCCGTGATTAGTGTATGAGGGGGTCGCTCCGGTTGAGGTTAATGGACCTTGCAATCAAGTACTAATTTTTCTGTCTTCTTTTCATTTCATATCTTTCAACAGGGTGGTACCCTTTTAAGATTCTTAACTGGCACCTCTATACAATACACACAAGCATAATCTGGAAAAAAATTCTAACTCTTCCAGAAACACGTGATGTTTTCTTGGAGTTGCTTACCTGCCGATATTGTGCAAAGGTACTGATGGTGATGACGACAGTCTCTATTTTTCAGTTTTCCCTTCGAATTTATCTCTACACAATCTCCCTCGCCCGTCAAACTATCCAATTGACCGCGTAATTCATGACCGTAACTAGCTTGTGAACCATTGACCAAACCAACCCCAATTAAATTGTGACTGGGATTCCTGTTCCTGTGCAGACCAGTCCATGCGCTTTGTGTTAGAAATGAGCCAAGGGCATCTTGTTCAGCACGTGAATTCACTAGAGGAAGACTAGATTCAATTGCCTTACAGGCCGATTCTGCCGCGAACCAATCCAGTGCGTAAGAAAAGGCTCTGTAGCAAAAGCCGAGGATTTGAATCCAGTCCTGGGGGCAACCTGCTGAACCTGCGAAAGACAAATAGAGACTTTTAGATTCTAAGAGGAGTAAGACTACGAGTACCAGATTTCCTCAATACTCAGTAGTGCGCGCGTGTGAACCAGCGTCATATTGGTTGTACAGTCGTCGTCATTCTACTACGAGTTAGCGTGTTAGCGGACAGAAGTGAGTTATTATAAAGTGTTATCACAGGGTCCAGAGGAGATGTGTTTGTCGTTAGAACATTAAAACCCGTCGAAAACCTCTGAAAAAACTGGTTATTTTGATCGCGTTACGGTTTCGTTACACATTCTATAGACGGCAAACCAAGAGACTGAGGACTCGCAAGATCGGCTTACAGTATAAAATTCAGAAAGGGAGGAAACAAATTTGGGGGCGATTTTCGAATCCCTGAAACTCAAATGGAATTGAATGAAATTGCCTGATTTTACTAACCTGATCTAGAATTCTTATGTATTTGCCAAATACTGTAGGAAAACGGCATAAAAAAGCGTTCAAATTTATTTTCGGCGACCGAAATTTACGGCTTCGAGATAGCGCTTTCGTTCGCTGTGCACCGCAACAGATGATGACGGAAACGGCGTAGTAAAGTAAATGTGCTCAAGATCGGAGCAATAAAAGGGAAGCCTACACGACTTTTACCTCATGCAAAAATGCTGCTCGTTCCAATAAAGTTTTTTTCTTGTGCTGGGTAGTTTATGCTCCGGAAGATTCTACATTTTCACTGAGCGGATGTGATTTTAGCCGCATGTTTTACACTGAGAGGTCATTGCACATATCGATTTACTGTTATTATTGTTTCTGGTCGGCAGGATTTGCCTCTGATACAAGCGCATTTTCTTTGACCTCTTTTGAAGCGTAAAGCTTTTTATTACGGCTGAATAAGTGTTCCAATTTTCTCCAAAGTGTCTTCTGGATCTGAATAACTAAGCGATTTTCTTTAGTCCGTGAATATAATGTTTTTCTGCAATGCTGTACCACGCTGGGCCCAGCTCGTTAGTTTTGTTTGGAGAATGAAGAATTATTACGGATAGTGATTTACGGGTCGTGTGTACTCTTGCAATAAAAAGTGACACTGGGTAGAGCGGACGCACAAGACAACTGTAATATCATCACGACTGTGCCATTCTTCGGTGGTCCAACTATATTGCCTCTTGCGTCTTTGGCTGTGCGTTTTGCGATTACTGGGAAGCCTTCGCACAAGCAAAACCTGCTTAAGACATCGAAGACTGTTGACATGTACAACAAATGTCCAGTCTTGAAAGATCTTCACTTCAATTAAAACTATGTTGCCTTCGCATAGATCTCTGAGATCTTTAAAACTCTCTCCGCAGCTGATGTTTTGATTCTCGAATTAGCAGCCGCGTCTGTTGCTTTTGCGTTTCCGGTCTCATTCACTTCCGTCACCGAGTGATTCGGTTCACAGCGAACGAAGTCACGTGGTACAAGTTTCCTCCCTTGTCCTTACTTTCACTCGGCACTTCGTGCCTCGGTCGCCCTTCGGGCGACGTGCCGTGCGCCAGCGAGGATATGGCTTGCGGTTATTGATTTTCAAAAGTCGATCTGGGTCAGATAAGAAGCGAAGAAATCGTTTACAGTAGATTTATAAAGATCCCATTGGGCTAATTAATCGTGCTAAGCGACAGGTATAGACAAGGTGAGACTGTAAATAAGTAATTCATTTATTCACACGAAATTCCTCTGGACCCTCTGGTGTTATAGGTTTTATTACTTTGCAGCTGGGAGCTTAACCTCTTTCGATAAAGATAACAGCGCTATTTTTTTTGGTGAAAGCGATGTAGAATGAAGCTATTTCCGGTATCTATTATTTGAGAATACGCGAAAAAACTTTAATTGAAATCTCGTACTCGTAGTTGTTCTCGTCCTACAATCTAAAGGTCTCTAGTATTTCTGAAATGAACGAATATTATCATAAGCAGAGGAATCAAAAGTTGTTGTCGCTGACTGCTGGTATTTTTGTCGCTAGAAAAAAAAAAGATTTTCGTTTTATTATAATACAAGAAGTCTACCGGGAAATACCCAGATTTATTGCGATCTTAGATAAACAATTTACAATTTACTTTACTTTGTGATTGTACTTATTATCATAGAAAGGGGAGCAGGGGTGGCGCAGTGGTGAGAGCACTCGCCTTCCACCAATGTGGCCCGGGTTCGATTCCCGGACTCGACGTCATATGTAGGTTGAGTTTGTTGTTGGTTCTCTTCTCTGCTCCGAGAGGTTTTTCTCCGGGTACTCCGGTTTTCCCCTCTCCGCAAAAACCAACATTTCTAAATTCCAATTCGATCCGGAATGCTCGAGCGTTTAATACATGAGCCCCGGGCTCGGGAGATTGGGCAACCACTCCTCACGCTATCGAGCTTAAATAAAATTAATTTAATTCTAATTTAAAGTTGTGTTACCGTTGATTTCACAAACGTAATAATGAGATTTCCCACACCATTGGTCATTCCATTTTCCTATGTGAGGGTTCATTACAACACAATCTTCGTTGCCTCCGTAATTGTTCGGCTCTCCACTCAACCAGTAGCTATAAAATGCGCCAGTCCCATCAACCCATTGCCAGCGTGAACTGTTCCTGAGATCCCTCTGTAAACCAATCCACGTCTGCCCATTTGTTCTTTTAATGAGCTCTTGTATTTTAGCCAGTGAGTTCAGAATAACAAGACTTGATCCCAGTTCCTCGCAGGTTGCCTTTGCTGATTTCCAGTCCGATTCGTTGGAAGATATTTTGTAGCAAGAACCATAAAGGCTTGTCCATCCTACTGGACAAGGTGCTGAAACATATAGTCAAAGTAAAGCTTATTCAATAGTTAGCCTGAGAAAACAGCCAACATTTCGCGACCCCAGCACTGGTTTCTCCGTAAAATGACGTCTAATGGATGAGTCAAAAAAATTACATACGTGTACCCAGGTCTTGGTAGTGCTTCTAATTAGTTGTGCCTTAGACTGCGAGCAGTCTCTTATTCTTGGTTTGAGTCACAGCAGTAGGTCGAGAGCACGCGTGAGTCTAGTTGTGCCGCGAAATGTTACTAATTAAAACCAATCAGGGGCACTACCTAGATCTTGCGATGGAATCAGTGTGAAATTTCCGCAGTCGTTCCTTACACTTCATTTCGCGGGGAAACCTGGGAGGTCGCAAAATGTCGGCTGTTTTCGCAGGTGTTTCCATACGTAGCCGTCCCCTTTTTAGAGCGCAATCTTAAAATAACACTGAAGTTTTTCCTTGACAATTATACTCGCCCACAAAGACAATTTGTCATTCTGTCATCTCGGTTCACTTTCATTGGACAAAAGGTCACAGCCGAATTTTCCCTTTGGTTATCATATTAATTCTCCTAACCTTTGTCTCTTGACTTTTTTTAACATATATATTCAAGGATGCCTTGTGCCTGTTCTGTGTTCATTCATAAATCGCTGATGACGTCAAAATGTAGTAAAAGCAAAAGAGGGGAAAACGAGCCCTGGACGAGTACTGATGTTTAGGCATCTCGGTCTCGATTTCATGCCTTTTTTAGTTGTTAACTGAAATAACCCCGCGTATAAATTTTCAAAACCGCTCGCCATGTTGGAGAAACACGTTAAACAAGTTTCCCGTGATGTGTCTGTACTCTAGTATAAATTTGCATGGTATTATTGATAGACGATTGTTATATTCACTTACCAGGCATATTTACATCGTCCGTAAAGAATATCTCAAATCCTTTTTTGTTAGGGTCAAAGTTCTCGTTTGAATGAAATGTTAACACCAGATAGTCTCGTGAAACAAAAATAACTTTTCCCGTTAAATTACCGCAGTAATGGCCGATGAGATGATTACCATCTGAAATGTTCAAGTAGTTAAACCTGCAAAGGAGACAATCAATATTTCACGAGTTAACATTAAACAAATTCATTCTCTCTGCTCCTTTACAGTGCAAATAAACATTAAGCCGCACATCTTTGTCCGAATGTATTGAGTGTGGTGTCGCACAAGGATCCAGTCTTGGATCTTTACTTTTTGCTTTCTATGTTGCACCTCTTTCAAGACGTAATCATCAAAACTTTATTTGCATGCGCTATGCTGACGAGCATCAAATTTTGTTTCTAGAAACCCTAACAACCCGAATGATGATGTGAGTGTGTTAATTATATCGGAGCATACTTTATCCATGGAACATTATAAGAACATAGGCTCACGAGTAACCGCTACACTTCACTTCGAGATTTAGAAGGCAACCATCTTTTGGTGGAAGCATCACGTTTGTAGGAACTAAAATTGACATTAAAATGACAGCTAGAAAATAAGTGTCATCATTGATCATAATTCGTGTCATTTAGTGCTCATATTATACCAATGAAAATTGTAAAAAAAAAATAGTTTCTCTCATTATGAGTTCAATAATACTAGGTTCTCTAACAGATTGAATGGAAAATAGGCTCTAACCTGCATTCTGGATCAATTGCCAGATCAAATATTTGAAATACAAGCTTTTGCAGCTTGCCATGTGGAACTGATATATTGTAGACGCAGTGCATATTTGGTGGGTAACTTTGTACGTATACAGGGGATCTCACTATATTATTCATCGCTGAACCGCATAGGTCTGTTGGAGAAAGTGAGAGATCATCGGAACGTCTTTTGCATTGCTGTAGTTGCGTTTGGATTATTATTTTTTCTGCCACAGAGTGCAGAGGAGTTATTTTATGACCTTGATTGTTGATTGTAGTGAAATTTTACAGTTTTTAGCGCGCGTCGCCTTTTACTTATACTGTTAAATCAAGTAGAACGTCGTTTTGACCTGGTAAAGTATTATCCAATGTTCCAGAATACCGCTGAAGCTAATGACTGAGAACGAATAAAACCAGCTAAGTTTTTCTTCTCGGCAATTCTTGCCTCCCTCGAAGGCTTCGCTTTTTAAATACGTTGTCCTTTGGGCGACGTTCCTTTCCACCAAGCACTGGATAATATTTTACCAAGTTTGTAACGCCAGCGCATGACGTTTTCATTGGTTAAATTCATATTCGATTCTTCAGTAAGCAAAGGCGGATCGTGCTCAGTATCAACTGTAAAATTCAACTGCAATTAACTTCAAAAATAACTCCTTCGCGGCCCGTGTTTCAATCGCTACCTAACATCTGTCATGCAGGATACACAAACTGTTTGGCTACTCCACTGGCTCAAAGTATGGCAACAGTTTTAGCCCTCGAACTTAGAGCAAATCCATACACCCATCGTAGTGTGCGTGTTTGTTAGGGTAAGTTGGGGAAGGGCTTTTGTTAGGATTTCGACGTGTTTTGACATTTTGCAACTCGCGTAAACTTTTAACAGTAAGCAGTTGCGACAATCTCTACAAAACGGCATACGTGATGTGTAAAATATCGCCGCTGAGGATCTAATACTTCATTTTAAATAATAGCCATCAGTTTAGATGGCGTCCAGACTTTGCTTGTCCAGTAAAATCGAAGGGCCTCTGCTTGCGTGCAGAGTAGATTAAAATTGAGGATTATTTCCCATACAATTGAATTACGCTTTGGTCGCTCTGCACTTACCACTTCGTGGCATTTCACTGAAATGCAATCTGAATCCACGCTTTTCTCTCTTAACGTTTTTTGAGTGGAATTCAATCAATGTGTAATCCCCGGCAACCATCACTGCCAAATTGGTGTTTAAATTATCGCAGTATCTGCCAATCAGAACGTTGCGTTGGTGGTAAATGCTCAAATAGTCCCTCCTACAAGAAAATTAAGTGTCCAAGCCTGTTTATCTTCCAAATAATAAAGAAGCCGTTCCTTTAACACTGACGAAGAAGTTTTATAGTGGGTACATTAAAACAGTAAAAACACCTTGGTTCTTCTAGAAAAAGAATCAATGCGTTATGGTTAATTGGTTGTGACAATAAAACTCTGGGAAATGATCAAGCTAGAATAGAAGCTGTTTTCAGCAAACTGTTTCAACTAAACTGTCCGAAGAAACAGTTTTCTTAGAAGCAGAATAAAAAGCGTGCTTGAATATTTGCTTAAAGGTAAATGGTAATGAAAATTCACGCCCCTCTTGGCAGACGGGTGTGTTCTAAATTCAACCTCGTTTCCAGGGTCCTCTCCGCCACGGGGGCCGAGTAGGAGAGGACCCTGGGAACGAAGTTGTTCTAAATTAATAACCCCAGCTCGCAGGTGTCTTTCTCTCTTTACCTAATATTTAACTGTTTATCTTTTTTGTTTTCGAAATGAAGGTCTCAGGAAGATGTCATAACATATTTGTTTATTATTTATAAACTTTGCCAAGAGGCCTGGATTACTCACAGAGCAAACTCCACTACAATACATTATAAATAAATTTTGGATTCTTTCATAAATTAAACATCATTTCATAAATTATGCGTACATATGCAGGTAAGTAAAACGAAATGTATATTTCTGTGGAGTATTATCACATGACCCAAAAGATCCAAGTCTTAGAGCTGTCATTGTCAAATCAGTCAAATGAACAAAAGAACTGCGCGCTTCACCCCAATGGGACTTTGAAAAATGCCAGCTAAGGGGAAGTGCCCGTTGGCAGAAGTTCAGCTCTGTAGCACTGATTTCAGGTGGATGTGATTCAAGGACCCAACTCTACTTCATAATTTTCAGAAAACATTTAAATCGCCTACCAACAATCCCACCAAGGTTCTATGTCGAGTAATGCAAAGGTCACTTTCAAAATTTTTCCTTTCGGAATTTCCCAAGTCCAAGTACAGTCCATGTTTTCTGGATAGTAGTTCGGATATCCTACGCTTGAAAGTGTAGTACTGTTTACCACTGAACCGCATGCTGCCGAATTAAATGCACAATTTTTAATCATATTGCCTTTCTTAGTAATAATCACTAGTCGAATTAAAACATCAGCATCTTAATTATGAGATCATATCTTACAGTCCTCCTATAGTTTGTCTTGGCTTGAACGAATCGAGAACCTTTTACTTCCGGTTTGGGGTCATTGTCGGTGTAAAAACCTGTGACATTTTTCTTTGTTTTCTAGCTGCGGAAATGAATACTGTTGAAACTAAACCGGCATCAGCTATTTTGCTTCTGAGAGTTGTCTCTAAAAGGCCTGTATTGCATTCACAGTTACATAAATTTGGTAAAATAATAGTCAAGTGTAACATTATGATTCACTTAAAACAGAAAAGGAACTTATTTTCGCTGGGGAAGATGCAAATTTTAATAACATGGCTGTTGAAACGGTTGTCATAGTAACTTCATAGTTGACTCACATTTCAAGATAACTTTGAATAGGGTTAAGCGATCAAAATTATCGTTGCAATTGCTGTAGGTATCAGATTTACAGTTTTGCTTGGGATTTTTACGCTTTGATCGCATAATATTAAAAAACTGTATTACCGTTGCTTTCACAAACGTAAGAATGAAACCTCCAACACGCTTGGTCATTCCATTTTCCTACGTGAGGGTTCATTACTACACAATCTTCTTTACTATTGTAATTGTTTGGCTCTCCACTCCACCAGTAGCTATACAAAGCGCGAGACCCGTCAACCCATTGCCAGCTTGAATTGTCCGCGAGATCACGTCTTAAGCCAATCCACGTCTGGCTGTTTGTTCTTTTGATGAGCTCTTGTATTTTAGCCGACGAGTTCAGTATAACAAGGCTTGATCCTAGGTCTTTACAGGCGGACTGTGCGTTGTACCTCTCCAGTTTGTTGGAAGATATTTTGTAGCAAGAACCATAAAGGCTGAGTATCCAGCCTACCGGACAAGGCGCTGAAATATACAATCAAAGTACCAATTCAATACCTTATTCTTACAATGTACTAATTTTCGCGAGTATTAAATTTCGCGATAAGATAATTCGCGAAATTTAATACGCGCAAACAAAAGATTGCACTAAATTTAAACACGCGAAATTTAATACCATTTTCGAAAACAAAGCAGTAGGAATTTTTAGTAGTAGTAGGAATGTCCTGAGTCCGGGTGTTTTTTTAACTTTGCGCACTTACTGAACATCTCAAGTTGCGATTCAAGCACTAAACTGTATGATATACATTGCATAGACAACATACACAGCAAGCAGTTATGTTTTGTCTTGTTCAAGTTTTTATATGGGGCAGTTTTAAGTGTACAATCTTGCTTTGAAATATATATGTTTTATTGATTTGTCATAAGTGCCCTCTGCTCAGGATTGACGAAAATAAAAGCAAAGACAAAATTGTGAAATTGAGTACGCTTTTTCTCTAATTTGTTTTTGCAATCGTGAAAATTAGTAGTCCAAAAATACGGATCCCGAATATTCGCGCAATTAAGTACACGCGAAAATTAGTAAGAATAAGGTAGGTAGCCTGAGAAAATGGTCGACTTACAACACCAATGGTTTCCCTGCGAGAGGACGTCTGAGGACCGACTGTAGAAATTCCACTATACTGGTGACGTGTCACTTAGCAGAACAGGGTATTGCTTCTCATTGGCTAAGGCAAATTTCGTTTGTGACAACCTATCATAAAGCACTACCCAGCTCTGGGTAGTGACAGGTACATGTAAACAGTGTCGAGTTTCTGCAGACGTCATTTAGCTGGAAAACTAGTGGTGAATCATGAAATGTCGGCTGTTTCCTCACGTAGCCGGTCCTTTTTTCGTGATAAATCTCAAAATAAAACTGAACCTTTTCAGTCGTTTCCTTGACCATTATACTTGCAGACAAGAAATATTCAGGGAAATTCCGCGAACACATTCTACACTCTGAACTCTGTTCGTTTTCATTTGTGATAAAAGATCAAAGCTGAATTTTCCCTTTTTTGTTCATATTAAGGTGACTCCACCCAGTTTTTTTGGTGGGGTACCATCCTACTTTGAAGCTCTCTGGTATCCCCACCTTTACTTTTATCGTAAGTCTAACACATAGAATGGATAACATATAGATCAATCTACAATATAACATAAAATTTTTGGCGATCGGAGTAAATGTCACGTGGTTATAATGCCACGCCCCTTTGAGGTCTGAGTCGAAAATTTGCTGTTGCCGGCATTTTTTCGTGAAAGTCTCTCGGCTACACATAGTGCGCATTAGTGCCTTGCGCTGAACAGAGTTTCACCAAAATCGCAAAGACCCAATTCGAGAAATTCAGCGATTTCCAAAATTAGGTCATAATTTATGCGAAAATGATAAGCAAACTTTACACGGATTATATCTAATAAACTATGAGATTCATCTCTTTATTTTGGGCATCCTTATAACAGATGGGTCCTTGCAAGTCAGCAAAACGCTTTAGGGCCTTGTAAATGCGCGCGATTTCGAGCAAAGCAAACATATAGAAATTATAGTTTTCGCTATTTGTTGACGTTTGTCAGCGTTTAAGAGTCAATCTCACGAAAAAAGCATTTTCTTAAAAATTCGTAGTTTTTTTCCCTTCAAATTTTTTCAGGGCCACAATTGATTAACTAACTACCCGGACTCTGAATTTTATGGTCATTGAAAAACTGTGACATTACCTTCTATAAGCCCAAACTTGAGTAAACATTGAAGATTTTTAGCGTTTTGGCTGAGTTTGTGCTTTGGGAGTTGTCCATTGTTTCTAGTCTGTCATTATACAGCATTCTTGTTCAGCACGCGTGCAATGACCACGCTTGGCTGACTTCCGAATGCTCACCGAGATATGATAATTTAGTATAACAAAATAGAAGGGATTCCCGTCACGAGTTGGTTTAATTATTGGCTTGCATTAAACCTATGAAAAAATGATATTTTTTTAATAGTAAGTAGATTTAGTGTGTAGCAAAGGCACAAGAAGCACGAGAATTGATTGAAAATTGTGAGTTAAACCTCTATGTATCACGCGATGGCCTGTCTCACTGTACCAAAATTATCATATTCGGAAGTCAGCCAAGCGCGGTCATTGCACGCGTGCTGAACAAGAATGCTGTATCATGACAGACTAGAAACAATAGACAACTCCCAAAGCACAAACTCAGCCAAAACGCTAAAAATCTTCAATGTTTACTCAAGTTTGGGCTTATAGAAGGTAATGTCACAGTTTTTCAATGACCATGAAATTCAGAGTCCGGGTAGTTAGTTAATCAATTGTGGCCCTGAAAAAATTTGAAGGAAAAAAAACTACGAATTTTTAAGAAAATGCTTTTTTCGTGAGATTGACTCTTAAACGCTGACAAACGTCAACAAATAGCGAAAACTATAATTTCTATATGTTTGCTTTGCTCGAAATCGCGCGCATTTACAAGGCCCTAAAGCGTTTTGCTGACTTGCAAGGACCCATCTGTTATAAGGATGCCCAAAATAAAGAGATGAATCTCATAGTTTATTAGATATAATCCGTGTAAAGTTTGCTTATCATTTTCGCATAAATTATGACCTAATTTTGGAAATCGCTGAATTTCTCGAATTGGGTCTTTGCGATTTTGGTGAAACTCTGTTCAGCGCAAGGCACTAATGCGCACTATGTGTAGCCGAGAGACTTTCACGAAAAAATGCCGGCAACAGCAAATTTTCGACTCAGACCTCAAAGGGGCGTGGCATTATAACCACGTGACATTTACTCCGATCGCCAAAAATTTTATGTTATATTGTAGATTGATCTATATGTTATCCATTCTATGTGTTAGACTTACGGTAAAAGTAAAGGTGGGGATACCAGAGAGCTTCAAAGTAGGATGGTACCCCCTAAAAAAAACTGGGTCGAGTCACCTTAATTCTCACAACCTTTCTCTTGACTGTTTATTGATACAGTATGGCTGTAACATAGTTGATTTTTGTATTCACTTACCAGGCGTGTTAACATCTCCCGCAAAAAATATTTCAAACCCTCTTTTGTCAGGATCAAATATCCCATCTGAGTGAAATGTCAATACCAGATAGTCCAGTGAAACAAAAATAACTTCTCCAGTTAAGCTACCACAGTATCGTCCAATAAAATTATTACCATCTGATATGTTCACGTAGTCGAATCTGCAAAGGAAATGTTCAGTATTTACGGGCTGACAATAAACAAATTTTTTTATATGCTTTTGTAAACATTCTAATCCAAATTAAGGCTTCTGTTCAGAATATTGTCGGTGGTTTTTCCACTCAAAAAACGACGACTGTTAAATTTCCTGAACTTAGCGTTTTCAGGGGAACGATTGGCATCATAAGCCACCTTCCCTGTCACCAAAAATAGTTTACGTGTTCGCAAATGATCATTACATTCCCCGTCTTTTTTCTTTCTTTATTTCATTGATTGATTTATTGATTCATTCGTTCGTATATAGACAAACATCTTCTATGCCAAGATAGTCAAGTTTATGCATTTATTAACCTTAAACACTCCAATAATGATGTTCATGTTACCCTTAAGCTTCAGCAATGTGCCTTGCTCCGCACACCAATGAAATATGTAATAAAGCTACTCTGCTGATGACATCAATCCGAAGCAAGCGAAAATTATTTTCTTTCGTATAACGGACTTAAAATGTCATATCTCGACCAAAAAGTCTTTTGTATGGCATACCTAAATCGGATACTTAACAAAAACTAGCTTCATTTGAGAAGAGGATTGATTGAAGATTTTCCTAAAAGAGAAGACTGCAGACAAAAGTCTCAAGTTAAGTACTCTGTCGCCAAAGAGCTACACCTGAAAACTAAATGTATGGTAATAGTACTCTCACCTGCATTCTGGATCAATTGCCAGGTCAAATATCTGAAATACAAGCTTTTGCACCCTTGCATGTGGAAGTGATATATTATAGACGCAGTTCATATTTGGTGGATAACTTTGAACATATACAGGGGATCTCAGTATATTATCCATGGCTGAACCACATAGCTCTGCCAAAGAAATTAAAAGATAATCTAAAAGTGTACGTTTATTTCTCTTCTATTATAAGTGCGTACATTTTTTAATTATTTGCTCATATATTATTACAAATATAGCAACCTTTATTTTTGCAAGAAAAAAAGAGCAAGACAAAACAAACAACAACTTTAACCAAAAAAAATTCAAAATAAGCTTGAATTGCTTTTTTCGTTAAAGTCGAAAAGGGAAGGTGCCAGTTTCAACAAACGTTTTTAAACTTCCGGTTAAAAGTTTCAGTATCCGGCATGCCTTGTGACCTCACGCCTATCCCGGCCTCCATCTTGACTTGACTTGCTACTTGTTTTTTCCTCTCTGCAGTCCCTTCCCATAGGGTCAACGGGAATGCCATCTTTTTTTTTTATTTGTTCAACTTTTTTTTAGCATTGAAGTCTTAAATTTATTCCTTTGTACAAAAGAACTGTCCGATCTTTCAGAGACCTTTCAAAAAACTTAATTACGTCGTTGTTTCGTTCTAGCGCTATTGCCCTAGTGTTACTTTAAAAAATTATGGCTATTTATTCTTTTAAAAGCACAGATGATTTATATCTGATACTTAAAGTGTGAAATATACATTATTGTTACAAGCATCTCAAATAAAACTTATTACGTTACGTTTAACTGAACTCTTAGTCATTGTCTGACTTATCTTTTGGACTGGTAACTACATTAAACATTGGCGTGACATGTACCGCTGTATCACTATGTCACACTTCATACCCAGAGTTGTCTTGCTATTTTGTTCTACTCTGGTTTCCTTATGGTTAACTCCATTATGATTTAGCTTACCATGAAGTCTACTAATGTCAGACGTCGTCCCTTATTTAGATGAAGCTATGCAGTGAGCCACTGATGCAGTCATAGACTGCCACTTTTTTTCCAAAATAACACTCGTAGAGAATGTAGTTGCCATGGGAATACC